CAGAGTAGACAATACTGGCTGCATGGGCTGACTCAGTGTGGGTGAAAACTTAACGCTGCATGGCAATCCCCGATGGCATCTCTGGGCAGGGCTGGGAGGGAGCTCTGCCTGGACCCCTGGAGTGCTGCTGCCAACGAATGAATATTATTATTTATTTGTGTAGCCAAAGCCCTTATGAGAAGCAAAATAGAGATAACAGAATATAATACGTTGTGCATTTAAAATAATTGTGCAAACCAGATCTTCTGTCAGATAAGAGTTTGTTCCCCTGAAGAATTTAACTTGGCTTCCCCACAAACTTTTCTCCTGAAAATCGCTGCTCTAAAGGCAAAACAGGCCACTTTTTCAGTAAGTGTCCCCTAATAAAAAGTTACCGTATTTTTCGTCCCATAGGACGCTCTGTCCCATAGGACGCACCTAGTTTTTTGGGGGGGAAATAAAGGGGAAAAAATTCCCCTTTATTTCCCCCCCAAAACCAAGTCGGGGAACAGCGGGATGGCGGCGCTGAGCCTCCCCGCTGTCCCCCGAGCTTGTGGGGCTGGCCGATGTCTGCCCGGCACGAGGGGCGCTCTGCTTCAGGGTGCTTTGCGCGCCGGGCGGCAGGCTGCTATCCGCAGCCTAGGGAGCCCTGCGGGAACTCCCACAGGCTCCCCAGGCTTGCTGATAGCTTCAGCGAAAGCCTGTATTCGCCCCATAGGACGCACACAGATTTCCCCTTCATTTTTGGAGGGGAAAAAGTGCGTCCTATAGGGCGAAAAATACGGTAATCATTCCAGGTGGAGAAATCGAAATTAGAGACAGAACTACTCGAACCTAAGACGAAAGTGCTTTCAGGAATGTATAACTTGTTGCTTAAATGGAATACTCAAGACGAGACTGTTAAATCAGCTATGATAAAATGGGCTCAAGATTTTGGGTACAACATTATGTTTGAAGACTGGGAAAGGTTATGGACCACCGGTATGAAATTCACGGCTTGTACTGCCCTGAAAGAAAACATTATGAAAATGATATACAGGTGGTACATGACCCCAGTCAAACTTGCAAAGATATATCATTTGTCTGATAATAAATGTTGGAAATGTAAGGAAGCTGAAGGAACTTTTTTTCACCTCTGGTGGACATGCCCGAAGGTGAAGGCTTTTTGGGAAATGATTTATAATGAGTTGAAAAAGGTATTTAAGTATACCTTTTGCAAGAAACCAGAGGCCTTCCTCCTGGGCATTGTGAGCCAGAGAGTGTTAAAAAAGGACAGAACTTTTTTTCTCTATGCAACTACTGCAGCAAGAATCCTTATAGCTAAATACTGGAAGGCACAGGAGTTACCCACGCTGGAAGAGTGGCATACGCAACTGATGGACTACATGGAATTGGCCGAGATGACGGGCAGAATCCGGGACCTGGGAGAAGAGGCAGTGGAAGAGGACTGGAAAAAATTTAAGGACTATTTACAAAAGCATTATAAGTTATATGAATGTTGAGAATTTGCTAAGTTATTGGAAAAACATGCTTCAGTATGGAGATTTGAAAATGGGGGAAATTAAGTTATGATTGTGGAAAGTTCAAAATTTAGAGCAATGTTCCTAATATTAGGGATGGAGGATAGAAAGAAGTTATTCAACAATAAGTACTCTAAACCCAAAATATAATTAGATGAAAGTACAAAAACGCATGAAACAAGGTATTAATTTGCTGTAATTTTATTTTTTATAAAGAATGCAGGGCGCTGGGGATGTGGGGAAGTCCAGTGGATCATGAAAAATGTCTGAAATTTTCTTTTTTCTATTTTCCTTTTTTTGTTCTGTAAAACCGCTTTTGTTGAGTTACTGACGATGTATTTGACCCTGGAAAAAAGCAATAAAAAATATTTAAAAAAAAAAAAAAGAAAGAAAAATACGGTAATCAGATGCTTACACTGACTTGTGGCAGTGGGCCATACTGAGCCAAGTTGAACCAATGGATACAGTACAAGGCAGCTGCTTGTGTTGCTAAGCCCTAAGTAGCGTCAGGCGCATAAATGTATTCTTATGCAAGGGTAAATGGGCATGAGTTATTTTCTCTCTTTACGAAGCTCTGGGAAACTGAGAGAATGGGGTTTCTTTATTTTTTACCAAGGATTCTCAGGATCCCTGTCAAGCTGCAACTCCTAGATAGTTTAAGGGCACCCATGACAGTTAAACCCATTTAAAACTGCTGCAGTGTGAGGCAGGAATGAACAAATCTTACCAGTTTTATTTATTTATTTATTGAATGAATGAATGAATGAATGAATGAATGAATTTATATACCGCCCTATACCCAGGAGGTACAGGAAAGTTCATAGAATAAAATCAAGATATAAAACAACAAAATACATAATAAAAATAAAAAACAACCCAATAGCCCTCCCCTCAAAAAACCAACATTTTAAAAGGACATAGGATGTAAATCAGATCAACCAAAGGCCTGGTTAAAAAGGAACGTTTTTGCCTGGCGCTTAAAGGTGTCTAATGAAGGCACCATGCGAACTTCCCTGGGGAGAGCATTCCACAGGCAGGGAGCCACTGCAAAGAAGGCCCATTCTCGTGCTGCCACCCTCTGGACCTCTTGAGGAGGGGTCACACGAAGGAGGCTTTTCTCAGTTTCCCCTACTTCGGTTGGGATTCCACATCATAAGAGTTAGAAGGGACCCCGAGGGTCATCTAGTCCAACCCCTGCAATGCAGGAATCCTGCCCACAGCCATCCCTGAGTGGGATCGAACCCACTGTGCCACAGAAGGGTTCAGTTTGCATTAAAAAAGAGGAGGGTTCTCGTGAAAATTCAGCACTATTTTCATGCAAATTAGTACAGCATCCTGTTCTCGCAATGGCCACCCAGATGCCCATCATGGGGAAATCCCCCAAACAGGACCCAAGCTTCTGTCGTGTTCAGAAACATCGCTGCTTCAAACTGTGCAGGGAGGACATAGCCATTATGACTAGCAGCCATCGATAGCCTTAATCCCCCATGAATTTGTCCAGCCCTCTTTTAAAGGTTGGCGGTCACGACTGCCTCCAGTGGCAGTGAGTTCCACAGTCTGCACTGCGTGAGGCAATCCTTTCTTTCATCTGCCCTGAATCCTGCATCATTCCTCTCCATTGGATGTCCCTGAGTTCTAGGTTAGGAGAGAGGAAGGGAAACTTCTCTCCTTCCACTTTGTCAGGCATAATTTTATCACCATCCATCATGTCGCTCCTTAAACGCTGCAGCCTTCCTTCATAGGGGAGTCATCCCCTCGATCATTTTGCTTGCCCTTCCCTGAACCTTTGCCAAATTCTCCCAGTTGGTAAAATGCTCAAAGGCTGGCAACGGGGTTCTTTGTTGGACGTGTTGCAGTGTGTAAGCATGCTAATTGGAAAGGAGATGGGCTGGCTCAGCGCTGAGCGTAACCTCAGCGTTTGCCCCAAGGCAGTGCTGATCCTGCTGAGGACGTCTGAGGCCCCGCACAGATGCTCTGAGCTCAGCGGAGAGTCTTGGCGCGAGGCTGCCAGTGCAGAGACCTTGCCGTGCCCCCGTCGCCTCCTCTGTGCCACCCAGACTTGGCTGCTCTGCCAGCGTTGCTTGGTTACGTTGGCGATGTTCAGAGTTCCAGGTGACGACAATTATCTCCTCTCCGGGCCAAGGGGGGGGCGGGTTGCGGAGGGGGCAGGGAGGGAGCAGGCTTGCACCTGGCACCTCCAGTGCCAGGCAGCTTGGGGAAGCTGCAGGAAAGGGGCAAGCAGAGCAATCCAGGAGGGCTGGAGCGCGCTGCCCCTGCGAGGGAGGGCTGCAGCTTTTGGGCTTAGGCAAAAGTTGATGGGCAAGATGGAAGGAGGGATAATAGAGGTTTATGCAATGAGGTCTGGTGTGGAGAAGGAGTTGGAGGGAAGTTCTTCTCCCTCTCCCCCATTCTTTAAGTACAGTGGTACCTTGGGTTAAGAACTTAATTTGTTCCGGAGGTCTGTTCTTAAGCTGAAACTGTTCTTAACCTGAGGTACCACTTTAGCTAATGGGGCCTCCCGCTGCCACCACACAATTTCTGTTCTCGTCCTGAAGCAAAGTTCTTAACCCGAGGTACTATTTCTTGGTTAGCAGAGTCTGTAACCTGAAGCGTCCGTAACCCGAGGTACCACTGTATTTGTTATTTCTTTATTTCATTACACGGATACCATCCGTAACATGAGGTTCCACTGTACTATTCCACCATTGTTTCCTCTGAGGAGCTCAAGGTGGGAATACCTAGTTCATTCCCCTCCTCATTGAATCCCCATTACAGCCCTACGAGGTAGGCTAGGCCCAAGGTCCCCACCCACTGAGCTTCATGGCAAGTGGTGATTTGAACCCTGGATTCCCAGGTTCTAGTCCGACACTCTAACCACTATACTGCACTGGCTCTCTACATTTAAATTTATTATGCGCTCTCCCCTAACATATGCATTTGGGGTACGTCTTTTTTGGCTGGAGAACTCTGTGGAAGGAGGGTGAATTTCAAAGGGAGCCTCATTTTGCGGGTTTGGCATAGATTTTGGGAAGTGCAAACAAGGCATGTTTGTGTTAAAATGTGGACCACAAATTGAACATGCATCTGATCCCAAAGGGAACTTGGCAGAAAAGATCACTAGGGTGGCAGGATTTGGCCAGCACGAGGCTAGGGGATAAATTTAAACAGGGATGCCCTGCCCCGCTCTCATCGCGGTTCAAGGGACTGATTCCAACAGGGCCAAAATCCAGCTGTGAAATCGGCGTGCAATTATGGCCATCCACAAGCATTCCTAAGAACTCAAAAGAAAGTCCTTCTTCACTGGGCACATAATTAAACTATGGAACTCTCTGCCACAGGAGCGGAGAGGGCTCTTCCGCTCGGGTCCTGCTTGTGGGTTTCCCATTCAGGGAATCTGTTTGGCAACTGTAAGTACAGGATGCCGGAGTAGGTGAGGCCATTGGCCTGATCCAGCAGACTCAGATGATGATCTTACCTTCTCCTGCCTCTTCTGCCTTCCAGAAACCAAGGAGGAGCTGGAGGAGCTCATGTCTGACATCAAGAAGACAGCCAACAAAGTGCGCTCCAAGCTAAAGAGTGAGTATCTCCTTGCACGGGGGCAGGATGAGGGTGCTACGCACAGGGGCTGGTTTGGCTTCCGACCCCCATCTCTCTTGACTTGAGGCACAGCAGAGGGAGGCAGGTGGCATGGACAGCCTTCAGTGGACATGACAGGAGATAGAACTGCAAGGCTCTGGTGGCAAGCTTAGTGCAGTGGGCCACGTTTTGAGGCTCAATATTTATTTTCCTGGGAAACTCAGCTTTTTGGGGGTTGGGTGGGTGTGTTTCAAGTTTCTAGTCCTCATGCTCAGAGGTGTTGTGGGAAATGGCTGTTGGAAGGGTAAAAGTGGCATCTGTGCCCTACAGAGCAAGTTGTCCTCCAAATCAGAATGGTAAAGGTAAAGGGACCCCTGACCATTAGGTCCAGTCATGGACGACTCTGGGGTTGCAGCGCTCATCTCACTTTACTGGCCGAGGGAGCCGGTGTACAGCTTCCGGGTCATGTGGCCAGCATGACTAAGCTGCTTCTGGCGAACCAGAGCAGCGCACGGTAACGCCGTTTACCTTCCTGCCGGAGCGGTACCTACCAGTATTTATCTACTTGCACTTTGACGTGCTTTCGAACTGTTAGGTTGGCAGGAGCAGGGACCGAACAACAGGAGCTCACCCCGTCGCAGGGATCCGAACCGCCGACAAGTCCTAGGCTCTGTGGTTTAATCCACAGCGCCACCCGCGTCCCTGTATAAATCAGAATGGAGGAAGCCCCTAAAAGGGGCAGTGGAAAATGATCTGCAAGTCAAGGATGTCCTAGGAACCTCTGCCTTGTTTTTTTTTCAAGATTTTGAACCTTCATGGCTTCCAAGATCCTTTTGGCTGTGCCTGGAGATCTCAGAAGCAGGGCAGCTCCTCTCCCCTCCTGCTTGGAGATAACCAAAGGAAATGCTGATTTGCATCCTTTATTTGGGCTGCAGGGTTCACCTTTCATAGCCCAGATTTTTGCTTTTCCTTCTAAATTAAATGAGGTGTTCTGACTTTCCTGGGGCAGTTTTAGGGATGCTCCTAGATGGTCTTTTGCCTTCTGGGGAGCTATTTTTAACCTAGCCTGAAATGGGCATCAGGCAGGCGAGGAAGGAGAGAGAGAGAGAGAGAGAGTCCCATCTGTTTCTCAACCCCCGCCCCCTTTCTCTTCCTTCTCTGAACGTCTGATCTGCTTTTCTCTCCCCCTTAGGTATTGAGCAGAGCATTGAGCAGGAGGAAGGGCTCAACAGATCGTCAGCAGATTTGAGAATAAGAAAGACACAGGTAGGTGGCCCTGTTACCCACTCACTGCCTGGTCTGTGAGTTTCTTTTAAGCCCCCGTTAAAGCCTTATGATCCAGTGGCCACTTCTTGTGGCAGTGAGTTCCATATGTTAACATCCAATGGTGTGAACTTCGGGGCACCTGGAAATATTACATGTCACAATATGTTGTCCATAGTCATAGAATTGTAGTGTTGGGAAGGTGCCACCAAGGGTCATCTAGTCCAGCCCCCTGCAATGCAGAAATCTCAGCTACAGAATCCCTGGCAGATGGGATCCAACCTCTGTTTAAAAAGCTCCAAGGAAAGAGAGTCGACGGCACTCTGAGATAGTCCTTCCTTTCGCCTCTGGCTGATTGGTTCCATTTGAGTGACCCAAAGTCTGGCCTCGGTGTGGTTTGTGACAAATAATATTTATATTTTGAAATATAAAATGATGGAGCTGTATTCGATTTCTACCCAAAGTTAGTTGCCATTAATTTCAGTGTGTCTACTCTTGAGTACAAACTTGGATGGCTTACACCCCTTGGATGCTTATATTTTGATCTTCGCAGTTAAAAATAATAATAATCAGTTTTGTTACATTCCTTCTGTTTTATGGTTTCTACGACTAGACACCTCCTGAAGATTTTGTCTGCAAGCCTGGCCTTTAATGCTTTAAAAATAAAATTCTCTCTTTCCACTTCCTCCACACCACGCATAATTTATTTTTAAGGAACAGTAAAACTTCTGTCACATCCTTTCATTGAAAAACACCAAATCTTGGCACTGGGTGTTTTCTTACCACTGGCAGGGGCTGATGAACGTGGCCCCCCGAACCCTCTCCATCTGGCCCTTGGGACACCCTTGTTCACCCTCTCCTCATTCACTTGAGCCAGACTGGGATGTGCCCTCAAATCTGTGACGCTTCTGCTTGCTTCTGTGGACAGAGGATGGGGTGTTTATTTGCAGCTGGAACATATAAATGAAAAATTTGCATCTTTTGCTCCACCCACCTTTGCTCGGCTCCACCCACTGCTGGTTTGAACCTTGTTGGAATTGGTCCCTTGTGCTGTGAGCTGGGTGTTAACTTGGGTGTGGTCTGTTCAGATTTCTCCTCAGGAATCTTTCAACTAATATTTCTGAATTCTCTTTAGGGGTTTTTGGGGGGGAGGGGGGCACATTCCATTTGTGGTTCCCATTTCAACATGTTGCTGCCTCGTTCGCACTTCCGAAACAAAGCCAAAGGCAAAATTTCATCTCCCCTTTGAATTTCCTCTCCAGCCAAGCAAGGTGTACTTAAAGGGACTGCATTAGGGAAAGTGTGTACCAAATTAAAATGTGTAGAGTCAGTGTGGTGCAATGGTTAGAGTGTTGGATTAGGACCCAGGAGAGACCCAGGTTCAAATTCAGCCACAAAGCTCACTGGTTGCCCTTGGGAGGGCCAGTCACTGCCTCTCAGCCTCACAGGGTGGTAATGGGAATTAAATGAGGAGTTTTTTTTGAGTCCACAGCTCCCGTAACCAACTAGATTCTTTCTGCGGCACCTCTGTGGGGCTCAGGAACCCAGTTATGTCACCCCTTGCCTGCTGAGCTGGCAGCCTCTCACCCTTTCTCAGCCCCCTTTTCCTTGGGATCCCTCTGGGCAACTGCTGCTGCGACCCTTGGTCTCTAAGCTGCCCCCCTGCCCCAAAGAGAGGTACCTCTCAGGCAGCCCTGTTTAGGGAAGTTTATAATGATTGGTGTTTTAATGTATTTTTAATCTTTTGTTGGAAGCCGCCCAGAGTGGGTGGGGTATAAATAATACATTATTATTAATATAATCATTATTATTATGACCCGGGTGGCGCTGTGGATTAAACCACAGAGCCTAGGACTTGCCGATCAGAAGGTTGGCGGTTTGAATCCCCGTGACGGGGTGAGCTCCCGCTGCTTGGTCCCTGCTCCTGCCAACCTAGCAGTTCGAAAGCACGTCAAAGTGCAAGTAGATAAATAGGTACCGCTCCGGCGAGAAGGTAAACGTTGTTTCTGTGCGCTGCTCTGGTTCGCCAGAAGCGGCTTAGTCATGCTGGCCACATGACCCGGAAGCTGTACGCCGGCTCCCTTGGCCAATAAAGAGAGATGAGCGCCGCAACCCCAGAGTCATCCACGACTGGACCTAATGGTCAGGGTCCCTTTACCTTTACTATTATTATTATTTATTTATTTATTTATTACCTCCAAGAGGCAACCTTTGCCTGCAGAGCTTAAGACCTGGGCTGCTGCAATAAATAGCTGTGCAAACCTTTGGGAGACAGAGAAACAAGAGGGCAACAGAGGAAGGAGGGAAAGAGGGGCAGAGGCCAGTGTTGCCCACAGCACCCCTGACCATCATTCAAGGCACCCCAGGGTGCCACGGTACACTGGTTGAAAACCACTGGCGTATGCCATCCTTGAGCCCCCTGGAGAAAGAAGAGGTTGGGCTATAAATTCAATAAATAAATTAAATTGATGCAACATACAAGAAGGTGTGATATTTTAGGGGAATCGCTTGCAAGAATGTGCCCGTTCGGAAAAACACGGCATATGAAAAGTGCTGACAAATTCTGTTAAAAAGATTCAAAACAAGAGCTGAACTCGGGGTTGAGAAATGAGCAGCTGAAATGGAGGGATTCATCCATCTCTGGTCCAGTTTCCAAGCGGAAGGCTGGATTAAGGCTGAGGGGGCGAAGCAGCTGGTTTGGGAGGTGGCTCCTGGTGAGATGCCCCCCTTCCCATGGGGTTGGGGAGGAAGAGCCTGACTTTTCCCCTCTCCCCAGCCTTTGTGGATGCTGAAGGGCACCAACAGCTCGTCTTCACAACAAACAAAGCCAGTTCCAAGTCATCGCCCCCCCAACCTCCCCGTCACACGATGATGAGCAGCCAAGGCTGATCTCCAAAGAAACGGCGCTCTCTCTCTCTCTCTCTCTGACTCCCCGAAACGCAGCAGATGGGCGATGCGCCGGGGAGAGCAAGTGTGAAAATGTTTTGCTGTGCAGCCGCCTGTTCCTTAATCAGAGGCAAGGAACTGCGGTGCATGAGCCGGGGCGGAAAGCAGGAAGCAGTGGGTGGGTGGGATGCTCTTCCGTGCTTTAGTCTTTTATTTCTCTTCTGAATTACGCAAGGGTATCGGGAGCAGAACAAGGTGGGGCCGTCTAGAGGAGCGAGGCACAACCTGGTACCCTCCAGGTGTTGTGGGCGGGGGGCTGTGGCTCCCATCAGCCCCCCAACTGGCGGGGCCAAGGGGTCAGTGATGGTGCCAGGGCTCTGACTCCTAAGGTCAAGGGTCCGCGCCCCCCACAAAGGGGTTCCTGGACCTGCTCTTCCTCTGCCCCGTTGCAAACGCCATGAATTGCAGGATATGTTGTGTGTGAAGTAGATTTTCTTAAGGAAAACCTACTTTTCTTAAGAAAACCTACTGATGGATAGTCAGTGTGGTCTAGTGGTCAGAGTGCGGGACTAGGACCTTGGGAGATCAGGGTTCGAATCCCCACTCAGCCAAGAAATTTGCTGGGGGACCTTGGGCCAGCCATGCGCTCTCCGTCTAACCTACCTCATGGGTTTGTCACGAGGATAAAACGGGGTAGAGAACTATGTACTCCACCTTGAGCTCCTTAGAGGAAATAAATGCAATAAAATAAACAGAAGTAAATCAGTTGTCACAGAATCCTCTTGGTGCTGGTGTTTGAAACTCCCTAGGCACATTTTGCGTCTGGTGTGGGTCCAGTTGTGACCACGTGGAGAACTCTGGATGCCTGGTTGTCGGTGCTGCAGTGGACAGACTAACATGCTTACCGTTCTGGAAAATGATGGCAGCCATGTTTTCTCTTCCCCCACCCGCCCAGCATTCCACCTTGTCCCGGAAGTTTGTGGAGGTGATGTCAGAGTACAACGCCACCCAGTCGGACTACCGGGAGCGCTGCAAGGGCAGGATCCAAAGGCAGCTAGAAATAAGTGAGTTGCTTCCATGCTCCCCCTTCTCTTGAGAATTGCTGCCCATTGTTTGCGCTCTCCTTACAGGGAATCCACTACTGCCAAATGTTTCATTCCCCTATTTTCTGTGCTGTTCTCCTGACTATTCAGGCCTTGTCTTTGTCTTTAGTGACACACACACACACAGGCATTATCTTATTCACTGTGTATGGGAAACGCCCTATTTTTCAGGGCTACCGTGCCTTTTATTGGAAGCTTCCTGGCCAGCATGGTGACAATATTGGTTAGTTCCTGTTTCTGGAAGTGAGGCTCAAATTACTGATTTCTTCTCATTGTTTCTCCCAATGCTTAGCAGAAAAAGTAGTATTTCACTATAAAAGAAAGATAATGAAACAACAACTTCATTTATTTATTTTATACACCCCCCCACTTGGTTGTTTAAAAAACCCTCAAACTGATTTACAAAAAGGTAAACCAATAAAATGGAGAAAAAATCACAACCATACTATTATGATGATGAGTATAATTAATAATAATTATTATTATTCATTATTTATACCCCGCCTACCTGGCTGGGCGGCTCCCAACAGAATATTAAAACACAATAAAACATCAAACATTAAAAACTTCCCTAAACAGGGCTGCCTTTCGATGTCTTCTAAAAGTCAGTTGTTTATTTCCTTGACATCTGATGGGAGGGCGTTCCACAGGGTGGGCGCCACCACCAAGAAGGCCCTCGGAGCTGGACCTCAGTGTCCGGGTTGAACGATGGGGGTGAAGGCGCTGCTTCAGGTATACTGGGCCGAGGCCGTTTAAAACATACAAAAGTTAAAATATTAAAACAGATTAAAATTACCTCTAAATAAGTAGATGCCAGGAATTTTAGAGCCTCCAGCCACGGAACCATAGCTGACCAATTAAGGGGAAGTGTATCTCAATTTCAGTAAGGCTCTTGACAAAGCCCCCCCATGATATTCTTGTGTAAAAGCTGGTAAAATGTGGGTTGGGGGTGTGTAATTGTTAGGTGGATTTGTATTGCAGAGGGTTGTACTAGATGACGCTTGTGGTCCCTTCCAGCTCTGTGATCTCCTGACCATCAGGCCGTGCTTGCTGTGACTGATGGGAGTTGTGGTCCTCCGTTTTCCACCGTCATGTGGTTGGCCACTGTTGGGAATTCCATTCCTCCCGTGCTGCAGATGTGTGGGATTGTTAAATGTCACATGTCTGTGTTTACATTCCAGCACTGATTGTTGGAGTCCTATGAGCTGAAAGTGAGATACGCTGTTTCTATTCTGTACAGTCATACCTCGGGTTACAGATGCTTCAGGTTGCGTTTTTTTCAGGTTACAGACGCGCCGAAACCTGGAAGTACCGGAACGGGTTACTTCTGGGTTTTGGTGGTTGTGCATGCGCAGAAGTGCTAAATCGCACTATGCGCAGAAGCGCCGAATTGCAACCCTCGCATATGCAGACGCGCCACTGCAGGTTGCGAACTTGCATCCCGCATGGATCACATTTGCAACCCGAGCGTCCACTGTACAGCTATTGCTTTTGCAATAACAAGAAAGACAGAGAGAGGGGCCATGTTTTCTTTGTTATGTTACATTTGATTTTGTGCGCATTAAATTAGGCTTAGAAGGTACACCTCAAGGCTCAGTCTGTTTCAACTCTGCTAGTCATGAGCTCATGTCCTTGGATATGGGTCACATCAGTGTGACAGGACACCGGAGTGATGAATCCTGGGCAACGCTGCGTTGTGGGGGAGGCACTGGCCTTGGCGTTATCACCCAAGATTTGGGAACAGGATGCTGTACTAGATGGGCCATTGGTAGTTCAACTCTGTTTGGAGGGCACCACGCTCCTGCTGTAAGGAGAAAGCGTTGCAGGAGGATTTTGGCTGACTAGGATTGAATGGGATTAAACATTTTAGGGAGATCTTGGCTATAAGAAAAGGGCGGTTTTAGGTAACACTGTGCTGTGTCTGGCACACCTTTTCAAATTTTGCTTCTAATTAATTGGAAGGAACAAACACCACCTCAACAATACTCAAAAGCTCAGCCATTTGAACCACCCTCACCCCAGACACACCTTCCTGTGTGGAAACTTTCTTAGCAAAAACGAGATCTGCACAGCAGTGTCTGGCCTAATGAGCACAGCAACTTATTTCTGGTAGATCTTGCCCCCATGAAGAAGTTGCTGAAACTGAAGGTCCCCACCTCCCCAAATCCCCTCCTCTCCAGGCAATCTGAGACTGCGCCTGCATGAAGCCAACTACTCCTCTGCCCTCTTCATGCCTCTTCTGGTTCAGGGAGACAAGAGGGAAGAGGAGCTGGTCACAGCAGGAGGGGGAGACACCTGTGACTCTTCATTGCCTAGTTATCTCCTGCTTGGACTACTGCAATGCGCTCTATGTGGAGCTACCTTTGAAGGTGACCTGGAAACTACAACTAATCCAGAATGCGGCAGCTAGACTAGTGACTGGGGGCAGCCGCCGAGACCACATAACACTGGTCTTGAAAGACCTACATTGGCTCCCAGTATGTTTCCAAGCACAATTGAAAGTGTTGGTGATCACCTTTAAAGCCCTAAACGGCCTCGGTCCAGTATACCTGAAGGAGCATCTCCACCCCCATCGTTCTGCCCGGATGCTGAGGTCCAGAGCGGAGGGCCTTCTGGCGGTTCCCTCATTGCGAGAAGCAAAGCTACAGGGAACCAAGCAGAGGGCCTTCTCGGTAGTGGCGCCTGCCCTGTGGAGCGCCCTCCCATCAGGTGTCAAAGAGAGAAACAACTACCTGACATTTAGAAGACATCTGAAGGCAGCCCTGCTAAGGGAAGTTTTTAATGTGTGACATTTTAGTGCGTTTTTGGTCTTTGTTGGAAGCCGCCCAGAGTGGCTGGGGAAATTCATGCCTTACCTGCTTGGCTTCTCAGGGCATGCTGCAGCCGGCCCCTCAGCCTGGCGTTTGGGCTTTGTGGCCAGCAAGGCATCCCTGGCGGCAGATAAGTTGTGCAGTGCCTTGAGGCGACGTGCGCGCATGTGGCTTTTTTCAGGCTGCCAGTGCGAAGGGGGTGGGCATGTGAGGAGCTGGCGGGAACAGGTAAGGGGGTGGAGGTGAGATTGGGAGAGATGAGAATAGAAGGACTGAGTGGGAGAAGTTGGGAATCAGAGGAGAGCCGGTTGCCAGGAGGGAGGGAAGGCGGGCAGCCGGCTAGAGGAGATGGAGCCAATCGGCAGCCTTAGCTGGAGATGAGCTGATGGGGGGGGATCTAGGGCAGAGCACAGGGAGGGGGCAGTCTACAATCTTCACTTTTACTTGCTGAGGGTAAAAGGAAGGTTGTGAAGATGAGCAAAAGTGCCTTTTGAAGGCAGATCCTTTAGGAACTGAGCAGAAACATTGACTAAACCTCAAGGATCGCCTCTCCCCATGTAAACCAACCCGGACTCTGTGATCATAATTGCAAGAGGCCCAAAGGGTGGCAACACAAGAACCGGCCTTTTCCGCAGTGGTTCCCCATTTGTGGAATGCTGTCCCCAGGGAGGTTTGGCTAGCACCTTCATTATACATCGTTAGGCACCAGGCGAAATCGTTCCTCTTCAACCAGGCCTTTGGCTGATCAATATATTTTTAAATGTGGGACCAGGGTTGGGTAGTATTTTGTTTAGTTTTTTGTTCTAACTATTTACAGTGGTACCTCGGGTTACATACGCTTCAGGTTACAGACTCCGCTAACCCAGAAATAGTACCTTGGGTTAAGAACTTTGCTTCAGGATGAGAACAGAAACCGCACGGCAGCAGTGGGAGGCCCCATGAGCTAAAGTGGTGCTTCAGGTTAAGATCAGTTTCAGGTTAAGAACGGACCTCCGGAACGAATTAAGTATGTAACCAGAGGTACCACTGTATTTGTGCTTTTATCTTGTATTTTGGTATCATGAACCACCCTGAGATCTTCTGATGAAGGGCAGTATATAGACTTAATAAATGAATAAAATATTAATGAAAAGAAGCATGGCCTGTCCTCAAACCCAGTGGTGTCATGGTAAATTCAGGAGAGCAGGGTCCCTTCATGAGAGCCACAGCCATGCCCCTTCTAAGATTATAGGGCCTTCTAAGGTAACAAAAATAATAATAAGTAATGGGACTGCATTGCAACAAGCAGTGTGGATCGCCATATGCTGCTTTTCAGCTAGCTTCCATTTTCTGCGCACGTCCCTGGGGGAATGGGGTGCTCCAATACCTTCTTTTGGAGTGATTTTAAGTTGTGTTAAGTTCCATAACTTGCACCGCATTCTCTTGAAACTGAAACATCCTTTGTGTTTTCAGAGTTCCTAAAAAATGCTTAGCTTTGGAGCATATGGAGCAAGTCCTCCTTGTTGCTCTTCCTTGCGCCTTCTCCTGAGGGACCCTGGAAGCCCCTCCTATGAAGCTGTCTCCCCTTCTTTCACTGCTTGCCAGCACAAAGGCTGAGAAGACTTATTCTCAGTGCCGAGAAAGCTTCCCTTTCGTGCTGATTGGGCAGCTCCAGGATGCCAGAGTCTGGGACCCTGCAGAATAAACAGTAATGAGTCTTTTTGCGCACACACACCATGACCCTGGACCACTGCTCAAACCGCAGCATGTTGGAAAGAAAGGGATGCATTGACTTCTCTGTGTCCTTTGCAGCTGGCAGAACCACCACCAGTGAAGAGCTGGAGGATATGTTGGAGAGTGGGAACCCTGCCATTTTCTCTTCCGGGGTATGTGTGTCGTCGTCGTCCGTCCCCGTCCCCCCAGCTTTGTGATCTTGCTAGTCTTAAGTCTCAGATTTGAGGTACCAAATCTTTGTTCGGAGGGGGGTACTTTAGAAGTGCCGCCTCTTTGACTTGGCAGAGGGCAGATCTACACTCATGGTTTTTAACACTAAAGAAAAAGTTAAGGAATGGTCCTGAGAACCATACAGCCGCTATTAAAATGTGACACAAGAGCGCGCTGCAGAGCAACTAGCTATCACAAACCAGGTGGTAGACTTTGTGGAAAGGAGGCGAAAGGAAACCAAATGGGGGTTTTTTTCTGCCTTGACTGATGCTTTAGAACAATATTAGTGTTCTAATAACATTTAAAAGGTGAGTATAGATCCAGCTAGTCTGTGGACAACTATTTTGCCACAGTGGGGAGAGCACCAAGGGCGTTTGCTGAGACCTCGGCCCAAATTGCTATCCAGTGCAACAGAGGCTTCTCTCTACCACTAGAGTTGCAACCTTGCAAAACAATACCGCAAACGTTTCTCAGGCAGAAGCTGCCAGCCCAGCCGCTGAGGCAAAGCCTTGTTAGTTTTTTTCTCCCCTGCTTTTCACATGGCACTCAAGGCCGTCTAGGCAGGCCCAGGTCTCCTGCCCAGGCATGGACTGTTCCTTAATCTACTTTGTGTCAATAAAATTACTGCACCTTCAAACCATGCTGACAGGCCGCGTTAACCATCTGTGGCATGGGGAGGGGGATAATAAAGCCTGCTTAATCACCTAGAATCATTTCTCAACTTGCCCCCACACCAAGTGTGTGTCAGTCCCTGACCCCTGTAAATTTTATTCAGCACCCACCCCCGGACTTATTCCTGGGACTTCTGCAGACGTAACACAAGTGCCCTTCTAAACGTCACTTCCAAATATTAAGTGCCTAGAACCGTAGAAACACAGAATGGTAGAGTTGGAAGGGAACCTGAGGATCATGTAGTCCAGTGTTTCCCAAATTTGGGCCTCCTGCTGTTTTTGGACTACAACTCCCATCATCCCTAGCTACCAAACCAGTAGTCGGGGATGATGGGAACTGTAGTACAAAAACAGCTGCAGACCCGAGTTTGGGAAACCCTGATTTAGGCCACCCACCCACCCACAATGCAGAAATATGCAGCTGTCCCATACAGTGATCGAACCTGCAACCTTGGCACCATCAACACCACGTTCTAACCGACTGAGCTATCCGTTCTGCCTAGGAACGCCATTTCAGTTCCTTTTTCACGGAAGCCGCGATTCTCAGGGAAGCGACTTCTGCGGTCTGGCAGGATCGTGAGACTCTCTCCATCCGAGTCATGCAAGACGGGGCGAGGCAGGGGGGTGGGTGGAGAGAAAGATATTGGAGATCTGGAGGCTGGGGGTCCCCGATCCCAACGGCTGCTCACGCCCTGCCTTGTTTCGTCCCCAGATCATCATGGACTCCAACATCACGAAGCAGGCGCTGAACGAGATCGAGACTCGGCACAGCGAGATCATCAAGCTCGAGAACAGCATCCGGGAGTTGCACGATATGTTCATGGACATGGCGATGCTAGTGGAGAGCCAGGTAAGGGCTGATCTGGGGGGCAGGAAGGAAGGAAGGGGTGGGAAACTGCAGCGTGGACCCCTGGGACTGGCAGGTCGAGGAACCAATGTCTGGCCCCGAGGGCTGTGTCACCTTCAGGAGCCACCTGCCAGTCATGGGCGGGGCCAGAGGGCAAAGTGGGCGGGCAGATTCTAGTTGCTGTGGAAACCCCAGGAGGGGAGAGTGATGCTCTTGTGCTCGGATCCTGCTTGCTGGTTCCCCACAGGCCACACTGAGAACAGGATGCAGGACTGGATGGGCCATTGGCCTGATCCAGCAGCCTCTTCCGATGTGAATCCATTCACCCTGGCCTTGGGCACCTGGTATCTGCGTGTTTCAGGACTTCTCATCCTATCCTTGTGATGTGTTTTAACTGTTTTAAACTCTGGATTTTACATTGTTTCCACCCACCTGGGGACCTGCTGGTGAAGGGAAAGAAAAGACCCTCTCCTGAAACCTTGGAGAGCTGCTGTCTGTCAGTGTAGATCAGGGTTTCCCAAACTTATTTTTGAAAAACAATTTTGGATTGGTTTTTCAACAAATACAAGAACCATTAAACACTTATCCAGCAGTACAGTGGCCCTTTGGTTCTCAAACTTAATCCGTTCCGGAAGTCCGTTCCAAAACCAAAGCGTTCCAAAACCAAGTCGCGCTTTCCCATCAAAAGTAACGCAAAATGGATTCATCTGTTCCAGACTTTTAAAAACAACCCCTAAAGCAGCAATTTAACATGAATTTTACTATCTAACAAGACCATTGATCCATAAAATGAAAGCAATAAGCAATGTACTGCAGTCACACAATCAATCAGTAGCTGAACTGGGTTCCAAACAGTCACAAAAGCAAAACAAAAAGAGCCACAAAAATGCAAAATAAATAGCAAAAACAGACAGACCTCAGCCTAACACTTAAAATGGAGCATGTTTGGTTTCCGAAAAAAGTTCGCAAACCGGAACACTTACTTTCGGGTTTGCAGTGTTTGGGTTCCAAGTTGTTTGAGTACCAAGGCGTTTGAGAACCAAAGTACCACTGTAAATCTAATGGTATTTGTTTTATCCATTGTCTCTAGGAAATTGTTAGGCTGCAAGCAGCTGCCCCCCACGCTGCTCCCCCACCTATCTCCCCTAGATACCTTTGGCAAAACACATGGCACAGGGTTGCAAATTTCATCTGCTCCCACCTCCCGGCTGTGAAATGCAGCCAGTGAATTGGAGCAGATCCGGTTGGGTGGGGGCTCATGGGACCCCCAATTGTTTCCAGGTCGGCCAATTACTTTGGGTATGTCGAAATGGGTTTGTGTGATCTTTTACATGTTTGTGGGAGAGGGAGTTATTTTTGTTGTTGGTTTTGTTTTAACTATTTACCTGTGTTTTTACCTTGTGTTTTTATCCTGTGAACTACCCTGAGATGTTGTGAATAATGATAAAATAAGATTAGTGGGTAGGATATTCATTTGGGGGATTAATTTAGAATGATCTTTTGTAGATACCACATAGGATCATAAAGCCGAAAGGAGCCCAAAGAGTCGTGTAGTCTGACCCCCTACAATAAATGAATTCTGATGGGGGGCGGGAATTGAATAAATTAGAGGGGGATTTGTTGGGGAATTAGGTAAAGGTAAAGGTACCCCTGCCCATACGGGCCAGTCTTGACAGACTCTGGGGTTGTGCGCCCATCTCACTCAAGAGGCCGGGGGCCAGCGCTGTCCGGAGACACTTCCGGGTCACGTGGCCAGCGTGACAAGCTGCATCTGGCGAGCCAGCGCAGCACACGGAAACGCCGTTTACCTTCCCGCTAGTAAGCGGTCCCTATTTATCTACTTGCACCTGGGGGTGCTTTCGAACTGCTAGGTTGGCAGGCGCTGGGACCGAGCAGTGGGAGCGCACCCCGCCGTGGGGATTCGAACCGCCGACCTGACGATCGGCAAGTCTAGGCGCTGAGGTTTTACCCACAGCGCCACCCGCGTCCCTGTTGGGGAATTAATCTGGGCTAAATAGATTTTTGTGGGGATCTGGCTACGTTGCAAATCAGTTGAGGGCTTTATTGGATGGGTCGGAAGAGGAGTTGCTTCTGTGATACTTAAAAATAAATTAGCATATGTAAATCAAGGTCCGTGGGCCCCATCAATAGCAGGCGCCTTGCAATGCAGTGCCTTGAAGAGGTTTCTTCTTTGAGGTGAGAACCAAGGTTTTCTGCAACTTTAGTCCTACTCAAGAGCAGACCCACTGAATGGCATGACTAATGTAGGCCTGTTGGTTTCAGTGGGTCTTCTCTGAGCAGAGCTGAGCTGATGACAACCCTCCATTCCTGGAGCTCAGTGCCTGCCCCTCCTGACCCCTCTTTCTATCCCCCCATGCTGCCGTGCACACCTGGAGAAGGGCACCCAGGCATTGGCAGGTAATGTCCCCTCCCCCCCAGCTCCCTCCGTTGCGGCTGCTGCATGCCTGTGCTGTCCCTGCATGCCTGGTGATATGTGTCCCCTATGATGCCAGTGGGAAGTGAAGACTGGAACAGGTGGACAATCGGAACGAAACCGGATCTTGGAAGACTCAGGATAAAAGGAAGGACTTCTTCACACAGCGCTGAGTTAAATTGTGGAGCTCCCTCCCACAGGAGGCAATGACGGCCACCAACCTAGATGGCTTTAAAAGAGGATTAGAGAAATTCGTGGAGGAAGAGATGGATGACTATGAGCCATGGAGGCAGTGATGCTTCTGAAAACCACAGGAGGGGAGAGGGCTCTTGTGCTGGGGTCCTCCTTGTGGGTTTCCCATTGGGGCATGTGGCTAGCCACTGTGAGAGCAGGATGCTGGACTCGATGGGCCCCTTTGACCTGATCCACCAGAGCTTCAGTTACTTCCTGCTCTGAGTAGGGCTAGGTGTGGGATACAGCCCTCTGAAACCAGAGCCCTGCTTGACGTCTCTCAGTTTATGTGCATGTAGTGGAAGGCTCATTATGCTTCTAGTCCCTGCTGCGGACCAATTTGCTCTCCCCCCTCCATGGGGAAACAGGATCATGGAGCTAGAGAAAGGGGGGTTCAGCCTCCTTCCTCAGCTGTGTCTTGGAGCAGCTTGGTACGGGCAGCCTGTGCTCCCTTGGGAGGGCACCCCTTTCTGGTTTTGCCAGCCAAGGTGAGTCAAGAGGAGTAAGACCTGGGAATGGGTTGTGCTGCATCTGTGTTCCTGCATGCATGCATTTGTGGTCCTTATTGTTGCTGCCTTCCTGGTGTGCTGCTGGAACATGTGTGGTCTTTGTATCACTGACTTTGTGGAGCCTTTCCCTCCTGTCTCTGAATGTTTTCTGTGCAAAACTGGACTCCCTGTTGCCTGTGCTTTATTCTTTTTATTTATTGTACTTGCATCCTACCTTTTTTTCCCTCCATGGAGCTCAAAGCAGCAGGACATGGTTCTGCCCATTTATTCCCTGCGAGGTAGACTAGGCTAAGAGGCAGTAACTGGCCCGAGGTCACCCAGTCCTGGGTCCTAGTCCAACAATCTAACCACTATCCTGCACTGGTTCTCAATTTAATCCGTTTCCTCCTCCTTCTCTCCCTACTGGCAGGTCTGGGACTGAACGCTTGGAATGGGAAGTGGGAGAATCTGCCCTCTTGCAAACCCCCAATGAAGATGTTTGGGAGCAGGCAGGAGGGAAAAGGGGAGCAGGCGGAGGCCCCTGCCAGTGGCTTTGTTAAAACAAGAGCAACGTATGTGCGTCCTCCGCTGCGTAGGGCGAGATGATTGACCGCATTGAATACAACGTGGAGCACTCGGTGGACTACGTGGAGAGGGCCGTCTCGGACACCAAGAAAGCAGTCAAGTACCAGAGCAAAGCCAGACGGGTAAGTTAGTGCTTTGCAGATAAAGAAACATTGCAGGCAGCAAAGGCCACCAATAGGGTTGGTGCTATCTGCTTTCCCACATTGCGGTGTATCACCAGCCAAACATCCCGGTCTGGTTCCATAGATGGTATTTAACTCCAAGTAGGTTGGCTAAGATTTATAAAACAGATTTAGATACGTGTTGGAAGTGTGAAGAAGCAGAGGGAATGTTTTTCCACACGTGGTGGACATGTAAAAAGTTAAAAGTGTATTGGGAAATGATTTATAATGAATTGGAAAAAAATGTTGAAAACACTTTTCCCCCAAAAAAACCAGAATCCTTTTTGTTGAGGATAACTCAAACTTGTAATTCCTAGGGTCAGGAAAGGTTATTTATGTATGCAACAACTGCGGCCCGTGTTTTGTTAGCCCCCAAATGGAAATTGAGCGAGGTCCAAGCTAAAGAGGACTGGCAACTTAAATTGACAGATTATGCAGAACTTGTAGATTTAACATATAGAATAAGAGAGCAAGAAGAACATTCATTTAAATGATATTTATTGAATATATGAAAAATAACTATACAGCTGAAAATGCTGGCAGCGCTAAGATAAATTCAACAGAGTAAATAATTTTTGACAGATGTAAAAGTGGAAAACTGATTTGAACGGTTGTAGTAAAATATGCAGGGATGTATGATACATAAAATGAACCATGGAAGGAGAAGGAGGGAAGTCACTGGATATTTTAAAGCTTATTTATTTTTAAATGTAAAATCGAAAACTTGATAAAAATTATTATAGATTTGGGGGTTGCGGGGAGAGAGGATTGGCCAAATTGGCTAGCCACAGCTACTTGCCAGAATGCCTCTGATCTCCCTCCACAGTCGGAGGCAGCAATGCTTCTGAATGTGAGTTGCTGGAAACCACGGGACGGGGAGAGTTGTTGCTGCGCTCAGATCCTGTTTGTGGGTTTCCCTTGGGGGGGCATCTGGTTGGCCATTGCGAGAACAGGGGGCTGGACTAGATGGGCAAGTGGCCTGACCCAGCCTAGAGCTTGTCTGATGTTCTCCTCCTCTCTTTGCAGAAGAAGATCATGATCATCATTTGCTGCGTGGTGCTGGGCATTGTCATCGCCTCAACGGTTGGCGGGATTTTCGGCTAGAAGCCCAGGACTCTTTTTTTGGAGGGGGGCGCAGAGGTGGAGAGTGCCTGGGCCCAGCCAGCCAGCCGCAACCCCCAGACCCTGCAGCAGAAGCAGAAGCAGCCACCCCCCCGGGGTGAACTGGCCCACCAGCACTGCTCCCATCTCTTATGCATGATTGTTTGTGTTAATGCTGCGTGTCCAGTGCAGTGGGGTGGGGGGTGGGAGGAAGGCCACAGGCACATGCAATTTCCCCACCTGATCTCCTCAGAGGGACACCCCCTCCCTTCGCTTCCACTGGCCAACGACTCACCTCCTCTGTGTTCTCTTTCCATCCCAGTGAGGTCCCTCTCTTTCTTCTCTTTCCTCTCTGCCTTCAAAGGTGAGTTTGCCAACAAAGGTGTGCAAAATTGGACCCTGCTCTCTCCCAGGGGAAGGGCCAATATTTTCTCTGCCTGTCTATTTATTTAAAACAGGATGCCACCTTTTCACTCAAGGCAGCCGCGGGGTGGTGCGCAACTCTAGATTTAAATCAAATCCAATGGTTTTTTTGTGTGTTTTTTATAAAGGACACTTTTAGAAGCAGGCAGCAGCCACCTGTCAATAGAAGCAGGCTGTCGATGCTACGTCCCCATTATTTTTAGATGTTCTCTCAAGGTTTTCAGGCCTATGCTGAATAGCGTCCTGGTTTTTTGGGGGATGGAGAGGGTTGCAGTTTGCAGTCCATGAATCTTCCTGTCCAAATGTGCTGTGGCTCTCTCTCTCAAGCCCTACACAGCAGCAAAGCTCGTGATTTGAATTTCCAGGTGTGAAACGGCACCTCCTTCCCGAATTTCCAAAATGTTCCCAGTGGCACCGATTCAACACTTCGCATGTGGGCAGCTTTACCCTCTCAGGGAAACCCTCCACGGACTTAAGATCTGTAACTGAGTTTCTCGAGCTGCTAATCTCTGGCTTCCCCAAATGTTGCTGGCCTCCCATCATCCCTGACCATTCCTGCACTGCAGGGAGGGAGTTGGAAGAGATCACCCGCTGGGCTCCCTTTCGACTCTGCACTTCTGCGCCGGCTGCTAGGAGTCCGTCCACAGGTTCCCTGTCCTGTGCAAGACTGTGCCTAGCATCTCTCTGCATGAGTCTGTGTGCACCTTGCCAGACCAGTTACTCCCTTTGCCAAAAGCACACACACCTGGTTGTGCCTGCTAGCAGTAGGTGATGGTGGCAAGCTGCTCCCAGGGGTGACTGAGCAAATAGCTCACCCTGTTGGAAATGCAGAACCTGTGTTGAATCCATCTGTCCCTGGGCCAGGGGGACAGGAGAGAAGCTGTGGGTTGCACATGGGTGGGAAACCAGATGTTCCTGCCTTCCCAACTCAGAACCGCAGAACTTTAAGGCACCCAAAGGCTCATCTAGGCCAACTCCCTGCAATGCAGGACTCCCATCAGCCCCGACCAGCATGGCCGTAATGGGAGTTGCAGCCCAATATCCAGAGCGCCATAGCTGGCTCCCGTCCCAGAGACAAAGAGAGGGGTTTCTGCCCTCCTCCCTCCCTCTCCCAGAGCCCATTAAGGGTGGTGCCAGTTACATATGCAATGCAGCAAGTGCCAACCCCCACCCCGGTCTTTTAACTCCGCTCTTCCAGCTGCTTCCCAGCACCAGCAGGTCTCTTGGAGAAAAGCAACACTGCCATTGTCTGGATCCAGAGCTCGCCCTCTCCTCCCTTAGCCATTGGAGTGCAATGAGACCTTTTTAACAAGGTGTTTGCTCTGCCTCCTGAGAGAACGTGCTCTGCTCACAAGCTGCGTCCCTGGAACGAGCAGGATGAGGCCTGCTCCGCTCCTGAGAGAACCTCAGCTGCACCTACTGCAGAACTACTCCAGGCTCTGACCTGCCAAGAGTCCTACACGGCAGTTGCATCAACAAATGTGTGGTCCTTCTGTAGTCTGAGGAGGCTGTCTCCCTCTCTCTCGCTGCAGGACCACAGACCTTCCTTCCCCCTGCATCAGCTGGGGCAGGGGCCAAATACCCTCTTTCTGCAGAGCACGTGCAATTTACATTGGTAGACTTTGCTCTCTGCCATTCGCTTACTTCTTCCCCACATTTCCTGGCCCGAAATCTTCTGCAAGCAGCCTGGCGTGGCGGCATTTGGCCATCGGTGGCCTCTGCTGCTTTGCTCCTTTTCCAGACCTTCCCTGCTTTCCTTGCATGTCGAAACCTGAGCCATCCGTGATGTGTCTGTGCTCTGGAAGCTGTTCTGCGCTCCAGACAGCAAACCTGCCAGTTGTTGGGGTGTGTATGTATACGTGTATTTTGTTTTTTAATTCAGAGAGCCCTGAAGTGCCACCACCAGTATTCCGCCTCCTCACAGGGAAAGGACATTTATTGATCCATCTTTGCGGAGGCCTCCCCTGGAGTCTCGTAGCATCGCTGTGTGAAGCCAAGTGTCCTTCTCTCTCTCTCTCTCTCTCTCTGCCCTCAAAAGCTGCCTCGCTCTCCTGCCTTCGTGGATGTGGAACTGTCCGTCCGTCTGTTGCCTTCTTCTGACATTCTGGCCTGCTTAGTTTACCCTTTACGCCACAACCCCCTCTATAAAATTTCAGGTGGAAAAGCAGCTTCCTTTTATGTAGAATTAAAAAAAAAAGTGTTTATATCTGTGAAGCGTTTTCTGGTTCCTCTGTGTGTGTTTGGGGTGTGTGTGTTGTCCTCCTGTTGACTATGCAGCCACCTCGTTTTAACACTCTGTCCCTCTCTAACATACAGGAAGGCTAGCGACATGCCTCGATGCTTAGGAGTTAGGGAAGGTGAAGAGATGCAGAAGTTATTCCCGAAAATCCAACTCTTACCGTGCTCTGGCCCTTGAGCCCTTTCTGTGGGTGTTTTCCACACTTATTTGTTTCTTATGAAGACTAGGACCTTTAGCATGGAGAGCTCAGCTTTTCCAGCAGCTGAGAGGCCTACATGCACTCTATGCACCCAGGCAGTGTGGTTTTCTCCATGCGACTTTAAATGTTTTATGTGCCCAAAGGAGCGGGGCTGCTTCCAAAAAGTTTATAGGGCAGAAGAAGGGGTTTGGACAACAGCAAGAGAGCAGGATAAATGCACACATAGGCCTGTTTCAGGGGCAGGGAACCTGTGGCCCTCTAGACCCTGTTGTGCCTACATTTCCCAGCATCCCTCTGTCCCATCAGCCATACCACTCAGGACTGATGGGAGTGTTCCAGCAACGCTTTTGGGACCCCTGCACCCCTTACACTGCAGCTAGGCAGAGTGGCTTCTGCGAATCGAGGGCAGGGGGTGGAGTTGAGCACAGAGAACCCTGCATACAGCCAGCCCCACTTGATCTAGCAATCCACAATCTCAGGAAAGGTGTTTTTTAATATTTTAATAGCCGCTGCCACAAAGCTTTCTGTCTTTGGGTGGGAAATATCTGCAGCCCTCTTCCAGATATTCCTGGACTCAAACTCCCATCTGTCAGGGATGATGGTGGTTGTAGTTCAGCAACATTGGGAGGTGGGCAAATGCCCCCCCCCCCCCGACCTTCTACTCTATGTTTCAAAGCATTTTAGCCCGACTCTTTTCTAGCAGAGGGGAATCTAATCTCCCCACTCCCTGTGATGGAGGGCTCTGGAAAAGACGAGTCACTGTCTTGCAGCAGGCAGAAGGACCCCCCGCAGCAAAATTGGGGAGATGCTGCTTTTCTGTCTCTTCAAAGCAGTCCTTGCTGGGTCTGGTGAAAGGATGATCTCAGTCTGGAGGGAGTCAAGTGTCCTGCATGAAAATCCCATGGCTGATATCACATCCCTCTTTATAGGCAGCAATGCTCCATGCCATTAAGGAGGGGTCTGATCAACAGTGCTGCGATCAGAAGTGAGGCCGCCGCTTCCGGCCGGTGTACTTGGTGTCTGCCCGGACATCCCTGCAGGGGTAGTGTGAAAGAGAGAAGAAAGGGTAACGGGGTAGGTGAGGAAGGGGAAAGGATTTGACCATCTTTATATTTACCTTGTCAGCATATAACATCTGGTTGCCCATTTGCTACCCGGCCAGGTACAAGGTGTTAGTCAAGTCCTTAACAACATGGGAACTTTTTACTTACGGTATCACTTTACCCCATATACATCCACTTGACTGCTTCAGTCACCAGAACGGGCACTCTTACAGATGCCATGTAATACCCATTCTGCATCTGTAAGAACTCTCCTAGTGTGGCAGCACCTGCACTTTGGAACTCCCTGCTTAGTGATATCAGACATGCACAATCTTTTTAGACAGGCCTACCCAGATGTTTAGAAAGTCGATGCAAGCTTTAATCTGTTTTCAGCCTATTGTTTTAGCTTTTCAAAAAAGTCTTCAATTGTTGTTGTTAATTTTATTGGGGATTCCCCCCCCCCCAAACCACTTTGAGGGCTTTTTTAAAACGATCAATCTGTGTATAAATTTTATGAAAGAAATAAACGAATGGATCTCCTCTGGGAGGGGGCCACCCTCTGCCCCCAGCCCCCGCAAGACAAAACACTGGGTGGCTTCTAGGGGCTGCAAATTGCTCCTTTCCCAATCCATTAGATCGATTGGTTGATAAGCAGGGCAGGAGGGGAAAACCCATCATCCTCAGCTGAGGAAGGGTGTAAATTTGGCCTGCTCTTACAGGCCTTTTGAATTTACTTCCCTTGCTTAAGCTGATAAAGCTGTGTTTCACAACCTAACTGGCCAAAAATCCACGACAATATCCACAGCCGCTGAACGCATGCAGCCCACAGATTGAGGGCAAATGCAACCCTTGCTTCCTTCACAAAAGTTTAACCACCCCAGACCTCCCGCCTACACCCAAGGGTGGCCCCACGCACCCAGGATGGAGAGGCCAGGCTTACCTGCCCTGCCGCCGCCTCCGTTCCTTCTTCTCGAAGACCCAGTCCCGACTCTTCTTTGCAGACTTCCCTTTGATGTTCTTGAACCGTGTCCTTGGAAGGGAACAAGGGTGAAGTCAGGAACCAGCCCCTGTCTCCACCACCACCGTATCGGTCCTGCCACTGACTTGCCATGGGGCACTTTTAAAAATAAATGGATCACTATACTGCCAGTGAAATGTTTTAGGAGCATCCCCTCCGGCAACCACTACAGGTTTTAAAAAACAAATGCCACTAAAACCATACATGATAATCTTTGGCCTGCTGTTCTGGGGATTTGCTGGGCTCTCATAGGAGGGCTGTGACACTTGCAGGGCAGGCTGTATGAGGCAGGAAAACATGGCCACCAGGAGCTTCCGGTGCCACGATGAAAAACCTCTGGCTCTTACTCTCTGTCTGTCCCCCAAGCTGCAGAGGGTGGGTCTCGCCTTATGCAGCTGCAAGGGCGGAGACATTTGCTGATGGGAGGGGGGGGGGTGTAAGCCTACACAGTCTGGAAAGGGCAGCTCAATTGCTTTAGATCAGTGGTTGCCAAAGCGGGAAGTAGCGACCCCTGGCAGGGGGTGGGGATAACCTAGAGGGGAATAGGAGGTGTCAATCAGGCTTTGAAAAGCTGTTATCACAGGAGCAGATTCATCTGTCTGGAACTCGATTTTGAACAAATGTGCAATTAATTTTTAGTGGTTTGAATTTTATTGTGCTATACCACTATTGTTCCCATTGCAAGGTTGAGAGACTGAGGCCAGAGGGGAGAGGGCTCTTGTGGCTAAATCCTGCTTGCGGGTTTCCCAGTTGCAGCATCTGGTTGGTTACTGAGAACAGGATGCTGGACTAGATGGGACATTGGCCTGATCCAGCAGACTCTTCTTATGTTATGGTTATCAATAAATCCCCTACATTAAAAAGTGGCATGATTTCATGCAGTTAAGCTGTGACAGCAGGCTCACCCTTCCTCTGGGTCCCCTACAGCCTCCCCAATTCAAGGTGAACAGCACTGTCTCTGTGGCCCCAGGCCTCTCCCAACTCTGACTCAGTACCTTTCATTGGTAAACTTTGCCCTCGCAGTCTCCTGATCACTGCATTCTGTGCCAAGACCCTGTTGGGGGAAAGCAGAAAAACACACACACAGAGCACATCAGTTTGCCTCAGGGGAGAGGAGAAAACCAGAGCGATGCAGCTGCTTTTACTGTTCAGAGCAAACCCTCTCCTGCATCTCTGGTGCACCCCCTGGCCCACCCCCAATAGCCCCACAGATTGTTACCTTTGGCAACGCATCTGCTGCACCAACAAAAAGACAGAGAAAGAACCTGGGGGAAAAGAGACACAAAATAATGAGAATCTGAAAAAAGAGAACATATATATATTTTTAAGGAGATACTTGTGCACCAAGTTCTCCTGGCAGCCCACATGGAGTTACTTTATTCAGAGAGGAGCTACTAGCCTGCCCACCTGCCCCCTTGACTGTCAACCCTCATCAGTAGCTGCTTTCCAATGTTGCCAGAAGAGTTTTCCCTTAGCTCTCCGCTCCAGGAGGCTGCGTTCTCCGGCTGGAGAGCAGTCGGAGGATGAAATGCCTTTCTGAGCGATTTGCCTGGGAAAGGAGAGGCCTCGATTAAAGCCTCAAGGAAGTCAGCGGTCACACAGAAGTGAGCTAGATTGCTTTGGGTGCCCCCTTCTCCTTAGAGGCCTCCACGACTACCAGGTTTGGTGTACACAGGATTCAAATGCGTCCCTCATGTCCGATTGCTCGCCATCACAGGCAGGGCAGCACAGAAAGAGTCAGTTTCTGGCAACCTCCCTGCATTGCTCTGGCCCTGCAAAAGCCTCTCCAGGCAACATGGAAGGCAGAACAAGGAGCCCTCCCTGGTCTCCAAATGGAAGAGGACTCACTTCTTGGCTTTGGCGCTGTTGGGGTAGTCAACCACCATGCCGCCTGTGAAGCCGGCCTTCATGGCTTGGGAGGTGATGAGTTCCAGCTGGCAGGAGAAATAGAAGACAGGTGAGTCTGAGCAGCCGGGGCAAGGGGCTCCCTCTTCTAATGGGACCTTCTTAGCATGCCAACGCTGCCCATCCTTAACTCCTGATTCTTTGTCTCTCTGCCCGACTGGGGATTAGGAGCCACAACTTCAGCTAAGGCCACACGTAGTCAGGCATGAGGAAGAATCAAAGAGTTGGAAAGGACACCAAGGGTCATCTAGTCCAACCCCCTGTAGTGCAGGAATGACAGCTAAAGAATCCCTGAGAGATGTATTCTACTAGCATGGCTAGTAGCCACCAACAACCTTCTCCTCTATGAATGAGGAAGGGGAGAACCATGTATGCCAACTTTTGAGAAACAGGTGAAGTAGAAACGCAAATAAATTCCAGTAGAGCCTCATCTGGCTTCCCTAAACACCATCAGCTTGTGGGAAAAGGCAGGCTGCGTGCCAGAGGGTGCCAATGACACCAGGCCCCTGCAAACCAACTCCTATATGAGCCCCCAAAGAGTCCTTGGGGGTGTCAGATCTCCAGGCACAGCACAGAACCAAAAGCAGCAGGCCCTTGTGGATCTATCCAGAGCCTCGACCTCCAAAAGCCTCCTTCAGCCTGTCCCTGGCAGCTCCGGGCCTCTGGCTGCGCCAGGCCTACCCCCGCCCCACAGTTCCCACAAGAAACGCACCTGCTGAGAGTTTTCTGGGTACAGCTGGAGGACGGCACGGGCTCCTCGGGCCTGTATGAAGAAAGGACAATCAAAAACAGCCTATGCAGCATCCTGCTACCTGGCCAAGCATCTCTGTTGGGAGCCTCTAAATTTCTTAGGCCTGTGGGCACGTTTGGATTAGAGAGAGAGTCCCTTCTCCCCCACACTCCGATGCAATCCCAGGATCAGTCCCAGATCTCACAGGACAATCTAGCTTCCCATGAGATCTAGCAAGAGCGCTCCCAACTTGCCAACATATCTCGAGTTGCCGTTTGCTTCACGTTGCGTTTTTTCAGGTTACGACTGCGGCAAACCCAGAATTATTTACTTCCGGGTTTGCCGCTTCACGCATGCACAGGAGCGATCTGCGTGCTTCGCGCATGCATAGGAGCACTCTATCACGTCACGCGCCGAAGCAGTGCTCTACTTACGGACTTTTTGGAGTGCAAACAGCACCCCGGAACGGATCGCGTCCATAAGTAGAGGTAGCTGAAACTGCACAAGTTAAATGTACAAAAGATGCAGGAATACTGTTGTATCCTTTTCCCTTGTAGATGGTTTGGAAGAAGCAGGTTTGAGAAGCCCTTACCAAAGCAGTATAGAGAGTCGAGAAAAACCGATACAGCCGCTTTGGGGGGCTGTGAGTCTTCTTGTCGGCATTGCATAGCCACTGCACTGCAGAAATACTGCAAGGAGGAAAAACGGGGAGTCTGGTCAGCAAGGAAACACCTGTCCTCAATTATTTTTCTCAGTAGAACCTCATTCTGCATTTGCTGGTGAGTGAAGCTCCCAGCAGAGTTATCTTACCTGATGCAGCCATCAAAGGTTCCTGGCCGGAAGGGGATGCCCTGGCCCATGTCTGCCAGCATCAAGTCACCCTCCACTTCTCTTTCTGCAGCTACATCTGTGCAGGATTAAGAGTACGAGAGGATTTTACCATTCCTGCCAGTTTTGACCAGTCCAATGCAGGACGCCTCAAGCCAAAGGGGTATGTAAATAAGGGTGTCAATCTGAACTTTTTGCATGTTTATTATTGTAGATCATGGCATCGGTATGGTTGGTATCACTCAATATAAAACATACTCCTAAATGAACTTTTCTCATCTACAGTAGTTCTTATTTCAAACAGGTCCTGGAAGGCATCAAGGAGACAACCTGAGCTACTAGTATTTACTATAAAGGTCAGAACAAGTAATCTAGTTACCAGCAAGATTTAATAAACAGCTCCCGTAAAAGAATGGGTTGCACACAGACAATAGTAAGTTAGCTGGCTAGGATTATACTCTTTAAACTACCAAATAAGCAGACTAAATGAAATGGAAAACAGGCAGGACTTTAGTAGGGAAGAGACAATAATTATAAGGAAATATAGGTATTATTAAAAATACACATCTCAGAGACCCCTTTCCATTAGCATATGCTGGCCAAGTGGACACACATGTAGGATTCAAATGCATCTCTTGTAATGGATGGGGAAAAGTTTTACTCACCCAACATGGCAGAGCTGATGTCCATGCCAACCCAACAGTGTCCTTCCTCAGAGATGTAATCACCACTCAGACCAGAGCCACACCTGACCAGAAGAGCAGCACAGGTTAAGAAATAATGAAACACCGACTGGTTTTCATCTCTTAGCGTGAGCCAAACAGGATTCGGGCATTCAATAGCACCTGCCCAAGCCCCTTTCACAAAACTGGGGATGGGAAATCACTTTCTCTGCCCAACATCTGGACTAGACAGACCACGAGTCTGGCTCAGCATAAGGCAGCTTACTGAAAGGAGAGCCCTGTAGCTGCTGCATCAGCCCAAAGGGGGCTCATCTGGTCCAGCATCCTGTTCTCACAGTGGCCAACTAGATGCCCCCAAGCAGGACCTGAGCACAACAGAACTCTCCCCTCCTGAGGTTCCCAGCAACTGGTATTCAGAAGAATTGCTGCCCCCAACCATGGAGGTAAAGCATATTATCCTCTGTGATTCTGTCTAATCCCCCTCTAAAGCCTCTCAAGTAGGCAAGCTTCACAACCTCCAGTGGGAAGGAGTTCCATAAGAACACGAGACTGCTGAATCAAGCCAATGGTCCATGTAGCCCAGCATCCTGTGCTCACAGTGGCCAACCTGATGCTCCAACTGGGAGACCCACAAGCAGAACCTAAGCACTCCCAGCTTGTGAGTCTTCCAGCATACTGCTGGTAGAGGGAGATTGTAGCCATCAGGGCCAGTAGCCATTTGATGGCTGAATCCTCTTCCACAGCCATCCAAACTGGTGTCCACTCCTACTTCTAAAGGGAGTGAATTCTATAGCTTTAACTGAAGAATGACTTTTCTTTGTATTTATGTTCCTGTGATGGACAGGCTCCTTAACTATTCAGCACCCCAATCCAAACTTACCGTCTGGAATAAGCATAACCTCCTACATAAGAAGGACAAGACCAAAACTGACTTTTGGAAGCTGGGTGCAAAAAAGAAGCTGCCTGATCCTCCCACGCCGGCAGTTTAGAGAAAGAAACAGCGACACACTCAAAGGTACGACGCAGCAAGCTCACCCAACATCCAGCAAGAAACAGGTCCGGTCCTCGGGGAGACCCAGCAGCTCCACAGCCCGTTCGGACATCTGCGACTGGATCTCAATCATTCGAGAGCTGGAGAATGGAAATGCCCCAAAACAAGCAGTGAACAAACCCCAGCTCCTCTTGGATGTCTGCAAGGCAGCTTGGGTGGGGTAGGGGAGTGAGAGAATATACACAGGCATTGCATCTATCCCAGATGTTTAAGAGGTAAAACAGGTGTTCCAGTGTTAAGGTGGACAGGACAAAAGCCATATCGCACCAATGCCATGCAGTAGAAAAGAATTGCGTCTGTCTGTACGGATGTGGGAGATGACAACTACTGACAATTGTTGGGGACTGGATTACTAGCATCTATTTACAGACCACCGCAACTCTTCCATATATCCTGCTCCTCAAAAACCATTTAGCTACTACCTCCAAAACAGTCACATTGTCTTTCTTTTAAATCAAGGACATCCTCTGCGCATTTTTCCTCCATCCATTTTGACACCTCCAAGGACCCTGCCTCTTAGAGCACACCCAGGAGGCACCACCCACTTTAAAAACCACTGTTTTAAGACATGCTTTAAAAGCTCTTTAAACAAATAAGTTCAATAAAGAGATTAGCTGCTTTCCTCAGCCCAAGGCTGCCTTACTTGTGTGTGTATTTTCGGGCTTCAGTCTCATCGTAGAACTGGGAAAAGAAAGAGAAATGGGGGGCTGCATTGAAGAGAGAATGTAAGCACCCTTATGGATCTGACTAACAAGAACATAAGAGCCTGCTGGATCAGGCCAATGGCCCATCTAGTCAAGCATTCTGTTCCCACAGTGGCAAACCAGATGCTCCAAAGTGAAACCCACAAGCAAGACCTAAGCGCAACAGCAACTCTTCCTTCCCGTGGCTTCCAGCAACTGGTATTCAGAAGCCTCAGACCGTGCAGGCAGAGCACAGCCATCATCACTAGCGGCCTTGATGAATTTGTCCAATCCTCTTTCAAAGCCATCCAAGTTGGTGGCCATTGCTGCCTCCTGCGGGAATGAGTTCCATAGTTCAAATAGGCACTATGTGAGCTACTTCTTTTTTTATCTGCCCTGAATCTTCCAAAATTCAGCTTCCTTTTCACATGGGAGGTTCTTTCTGATTACCAGAGTTAACAGCAACTGAGGAATTTCTCGGCTCATAAAAAGAGAGATCTATTCCCCGCCACCACACAGCTCAGTCGGCAACCTGGTGCCCTCCAAGTGAACTGTGTTACAATGTCCATTAGTCCGGCTGACAGGTGCTGTACTCCAAAACCATCTGGAGGACACCAGGTCGGCATAGACCGATATAGCTGACACCTGGTCGTCTTCTGTTTCCAAGGAGGATGGAAGGAAGCACCCTAGAAGCAAGACATGGAGGCAAGGTAGACTGCCTCTGTGCTTGGAGGCTCAATTCCTGGTCCTGGGGGCTTACAGGAACGAGCGCTCCACCGCCCCCTGGTAGTCCTCCCCCCGCCTCCCTCTCCCCTCCTTGTCTCTCTTACTAGTTCGGGGGGGCCGCGATGCTCGGGCCTCTTGCCGCTGGCCGCCATGCTTGCGCGCTTGTCTTCTACGTCACACTCGTGCGACACAGAAGCGGTCGCAGCTGCAGAGATCAGGAGAGAATTGCTGCGAGGGCCATCCCACCTCTTGGATAGCCGATTTCCGGGTTCTTCCTTCCTTCCAGCTGAATTTCCATTTGATCAAGAGGGTTGCGGACCGAATCGAGACAAAGGCGGTGTGTTTATCACACTCGACTCGCTTTACCCGGAGGCTACGGAGGTGTTGCATAGGCTGTAACATGCTGTGTAATTGTATTCTTGCCGTCTTGGTTCTTTGAATGAGCCTGTGAGCGCAAGTCAAGGGTAAAGAAGCTTTTCTGGCGGGCCTCTTGCCCATCGCCCCCCACCTGGGGGGGGAACAATCACACTACCTCTCAGCCTACTTTATAAGGTTGTTGTGGGGATTAACATAAGGAGAAGGAGAACGATGCACGTCACCTTGATCTCCTTGGAGAAAAATGGTGGGATGTAATAAATACATGAAGTGCGATTGCTTGATCTGCTGCCCACTGTGGACTGCAAGCAAGCCCCTTCGTGTACAGTATCTGTTTTCGGAATCGCTTCTCGTAAGAGATTCCAAAGGCGGTCTTCACCTTTTAAACTGGGCTTGGATCCGGCAGCCTTTCACAGCGGAGGCTCGACTGTCCTCTGTTAACGTAGCAGGACACGTGGAGATCCGACCGCCTGCCACTCCAAGCACCCTCCTCCCTTCCCTTCCGGGATGTTTCCCTTGGGGGTCGGGTAGCCCTTCAGACAGAGGGCTATACTTCTCCGCAAAGCGGCATGCAACGCCACGAGAAACCAAAAATATGTATAAGGAAATTTAGAATCAAAGTCTCCCCAACTAATTTCAATAAAAAGAGACCTCGCAGTTTAAAATTATAAAAACCACCCCTCCCCAATTAAAATCAATCAATAATGACTTGTGCCGTGACTCCTAGCGTTTGCGGGCTGGGACTGACATTTTATTTGCTATATACATTTTGCATGTCTTTTTTGTACCCCGCCTGGTAATCGTAACATGATAGGCGGCATAGAGATTTGTGTGCGTATTAAAACGAATGAAGCTTTAAAATCATGGATCTCGCCATTCATTCAAGTATACATGGACAGCTGTCTCTTCTCCCCCTCGGGGAGCAAAGGACGAGGAACCCCCACCCACAAACGAAGTTTAATGGTAACCGGAATTTCTCTATCCTCCTCTACACCCGAATCCTCTTTGCGCCCCAATCAGCGCACAGTGCGTGGCCAATCCCGCGAAGGCTATTTTTGCGCGCGCGCCCCTCCGCCTCAGAACCGCTTCGGCGCATGACTGACGGCGGCCAGCGAACGCGCACGCGTCGGAACTCGCCACCCATTGGTCGCTGGCGGTGCCGCGCGCGTCCCCGTCGGACTTGGTGCCGCGCGCTGAGGTGGCTGAGGCGAGAAGGCGGCGGCGGGAGGGAAGATGGAGGCGGCGGCTGTGCCGGGTTCGGCGTGGCTGGCGGGGCTGTCGCTGGTCCTCGGCGGCCTCGTTCTCTGGCTGGTGCTGATCCTGCTGAGGCGGAGGACGGAGGAGGCGGAGCCCAGCCGGAAAGGGACGGAGCCCGTCACGATCGACGGTGAGAGCGCGAGACGAGGAGGGGCGGGGCTTAAGACGAGCCACACCCCCTTCGGGAGTCCTCACTTTGCCCCAGTTGTAAAATGGGCCGCTAGGCTGAGTCGTGCCAAAATTTCAGGATGAAAGCAGTGCCTCATATATAATAATCAGTTATAAAGGTAAAAGGATCCCTGACCATTAGGTCCAGTCGTGACTGACTCTGGGGTTGCGGAGCTCATCTCTCTTTATTGGCCGAGGGAGCCGGCGTACAGCTTCTGGGTCATGTGGCCAGCATGACTAAGCCGCTTCTGGCGAACCAGAGCAGCGCACGGAAACGCCGATTACCTTCCCGCCCTATTTATCTACTTGCACTTTGATGTGCTTTCAAACTGCTAGGTTGGCAGGAGCAGGGACCAAGCAATGGGAGCTCACCCCGTCGCGGGGATTCGAACCCCCGACCTTCTGATTGGCAAGTCCTAGGCTCTGTGATTTAACCCACAGCGCCACCTGCATCCCGCAATATTCAGTTATATTGGTTGCATAATATGGTTTCTGTCAATTTTGTGTTGTGTTGTGATATAAATACAATTTAGGTGAAATTCAATATAATTACATAATTTGGGCTAAGTTTTATATAATTTAGCTCAGTATGACGAACACCGGCGGGCAGTGGCTTTCCAGGGTTTCAGATGGGGAGCCTTTTCCAGCCTTACCTGGAGACACCAGGGATTGTGCCTAAGAGCTTCTGCAGGCAAAGCAGATATGAGCCTTCTCCAGCTGTGTGGATTACTGGCTTTTTCATAGCATTGTAAGTTGTGTTTTCAAGCTCCATTATGTTTGGACACTTAAAATCTATTTTGAAAAAATGGTCCTGCATCTGGCCTTGCTCTTCTAAATTCTGGGAGAATGCTGATTGTCCAGTCCGTCTTACCTATTTTTAAAATAAGACTTTCTTCAATTGTATTCTGTAGATCAGGATGTGAACAGTGAAGCAGCCAGCAAAACATCAGTCCCGAAGAAGCAGAAGCAGCTTCAGCGGATCCGCAAAGAGAAGCCCCAGCAACACAACTTCACCCACCCGCTCCTGGCTTCAGCACTCAAAGTGAGGCCTGGCAGGCTACAGCTTGTGTTCTGTGTTTCGCGGGAAAAGGAGTCGGCTAATCTTATGTAGGAAGTTTACCTTTATAGCAAGTCAGAGACCTATCTGGCTCAGTATTGCCTGCATTGATTGGCAGTGCTAGTCCAGGGTTTTTAGGCCAGGAGTTGCTCCCAGCCCTACCTGGAGATACCAGGAATTGAACCTTCTGCATGCAAAGCAAATGCCCTGCCAGTTGGTCTTTATCTAGTGATGGGGTTTGCCCCTTCAGAACCCTTCTGGGTTTTTGGAAATACTGGATCCTCCTTTCTCCTCACATACACACATGTACATTGCAGAAAAATATAAGAGCCAGTAGATTAGAAATGCAAAAACTCACAGTAGTGGGGAAGATTATGACCTGAGAGAGGCGGTGGTGGTGTAGTAGTTAGAATATAATACAAGGATTTGGGAGACAAGGGTACAAATCTGCAGTCAGCCATGAAACTCACTTGCTGACCCTGGTTCAGTCAGCCCCTCTCAACCTAACCTACCTCACAAGGTTGTTGTGGGAATTAAATGAGGGGGAGAACCATGTACACCATTTTGAGCTCTTTGGAGAAGAGATGGGATGTAAATCAAATCAACAAACACTTTTGCAGCATGGCAACCAGCTCTTTGCTCTTGGGCACACCCCAGGATGGAGCACCTCTGTATTCTTTTCCACTTTTAGTTTGTTGAGAGGCCAAAGGTTGATCCTCTTTGCATTCTTCAGGGCCACAGCGGGAGCATCACCTGCCTGGATTTCAGCAGCAATGGGAAGTACCTGGCGTCCTGTTCTGATGACCGCACCGTCCGCATCTGGAGCACCAAGGACTTCCTGGAGCGGGAGCACCGCTGCATGCGAGCCAACGTAGAGCTGGACCATGCCACTTTGGTCCGCTTCTACCCGGACTCCAGGTGGGGAGGCTGTGCCTGGACATGGGACAATTAGCTTTGCTCCTCCTCCTCCTCTTTACAGCTGAAATTGCAGACTAGCTGATCCTTTCCAAGAAGATGGGGAGGACAGATTAGAATTACCAGCAGCTCAGGTTGATCGGTGGAGTCATCAGCCCTTTTTTTAAAAAAGGAGCTAGTAGCTAGAGCTAGTTTAAGTTCAAGTTCAGCATCCCCCAAAGCAACTAATTCCAGTTTATGTCTGTCTCCTTACAAAATGAACCAGTTCAGTTCACAGTCATTTCAGCCTTCAGAATGTTATAAGCTGCTTTGCTGAAGTAGAAGATATATTTAAGAAGAGTAAGGAAACATTTTTCAAAACCACAGTGGAATGTGACGTGTTTAGTTTGTTTTTCCCAGCAATTATTATATTTAAGCTTAAAGGTCCCAAAAGTATCAACGAGGGGAAGATACACACATAAGGACATGACTGAAATAAAAACTGTTCAAAATTCTACCCCACAACAAATATAATTCATATTTTGTTCAGCCAGCAATTACAGGAGGTGTAGCTCAAAGATTTTGGAACTAACTTAGCGAACTTTGCAAACTAGCTCGTCCCAAGCAGTGAGGGTGGGGAGGGAGTCAATTCCTATAAACCAGTGTTAGTAAATGCTATCCTGGAGTAGGGGGTGTCAGCACTGACCACCTGTCCAGGTCTGCTACTGCTGGTCCAAGCCACTGTCCTCTGCTGTAACAGCAGCGATGGAGCGAGCCTGTTGTCAAGCTTCTTCCTCACTACTCTCGTCCCCTGCCAGCCTTATGTTAACATTGAACTGGCATTGGAGTTTGATTAGGGGAATGCTGAAGGAGGACAGCACAGGTGCCCATACAACACCCAGCCAGCTTTACTTCCAGGAGCAATAATGGAAACACTGGCAAAGCCCCCGGGGCTGGGGGATGGCCTTGAGCCTGTTGGAGCAGCTTGTACTTGTGCTGCTTACAGGCACTGCCTCTCCTTTCTTCAAGCAGAGCCTTTATTGCGTGGCTGGCCAACGGAGACACCCTCAGGCTGTTCAAAATGACGAAGAAGGAAGATGGCAGCTTCACATACACCGCACTTCCAGAAGACTTCCCAAAGCTGCACAGAGCCCCCATCATCAACATTGGAGTCGCAGACACAGGTATGGAAGAGGGGAGGGGGCTCTCTTTCTTTTCTAGGGCTTGGCTTCCTAAGTACCCAGAGCTGAATTGGCCGCGGAGAGCCAATGAAAACCTAAGAAAAAACAGCTGCATCAGGCCAAGGGTCTGTCTGGTTCAGCATCCTGTCCTCATAGTGGCCAGCCAGGTGTCCCAGTAAGAAACCCACAAGCAGGTCTGGAGCACAAAAGCCCTCTCTCCTTCCATGGTTTCTGACGTGTGTGTGTGTGTGTGTGTGTGTGTGTGTGTGTGTTTTGCCAATCTTTTATTGATTTTC